GATTGGGCAATCTACTTCCGTGGTCATACCACCTTGGAAACCCACGGAGGGATCGCTATGAGTAGAATCAACTTGACAGCAGTGAGTTTGGTCTTTTTTTTTTTTTTTTTTCGGTAAACACAGAGAACATCTTTTTTTTTGTTTGTTTGTTTCCAACTGCCACTGAGTTGATACTGACTCATTGATAACCCAATGTGTGTTAGAGTAGAACTGTGCTCCATAGGATTTTCAGTGGATAATTTTTCAGAAGTAAGTTGCCAGGCCTTTCCTCAGGTGCATTTGGAGGGATTCAAATTTTCAATGCAAATACAAGGGGCTTAGCTGATGTTCCTTGGTGTTATTTGAAAGAAAGGGAAACATGTTAGAAGGCTAGAGATATTATCTTCTAGGAAGCAATGAGGCAGGAAGATTGGGGGGGGTGTTACCAAGCATATTTTATAATTACAGATAGAAGAAATTTGGAAAAAAAAATCACCAGAAATTAGTTCTTAATTGAATGCAGGAACCAAAATGAATGAAAGAACGTGGCTAAATTTTCTGGAACAAGTATGGGAACAATAACAAAAATAAGGAATCGGGAGGGTATCTTTTCATAGGGAGAAGGAGATATCACCAAAATGTGGGTTGTTCATCAATCGAAGATTTGTTCAGGAGAATATAAAACTGTTTGGTCCTGTGTCTGTCCGTTCAGTTTAGTAATCAGAAGGATTATTGTTTGCTTTAATAGAGGCTCAAAAAAAAAAAAACCAAACTCACTGCTGTCAACTCATTCCGAACTCAAAATGACCCCTCCTTGGGTTTCCGAGGCAGTATCTCTAGGGAAGTAGATTGTCCAGTCTTCCTTCTGAGGAGCAGCTGGTGGGCTTGAACCACCAGCCTTCTGGATAGCAGTCAAATGCCTTAGGCAAAAGAGGTCTGGTAGTGTAGTGGCTAAAGCATTTGGTTGCTAACCAAAAATTTGCTGGTTTGAACTCTTCAGCCACTCTGTAGAAGAAAGAAGAGGTATTCTGCTTCCATAAAGATTTACAGCTTTGGAATTTCAATGGGGGTCACTATGAGTTGGAATTGATACTAGGACAGTGAGTTTTTGTTGTTGTTGTTGTTGTTGTTGGAATCTATATCAAAGGAGCCCTGGTGGTGTAATGGTTAAAGGACTCAGCTGATAACAGTGGGAACCCATCAGCTGCTTTGCAGGAGAAAGGATCTGGTATCTACTTCTGGAAAGATTAAACAAAAAAAATTAAACTCAATGCCATGGAGTAGATTCTGATGCATAGCAATCCTCACTGGGTTTCCCAGGCTATACATGTACACGGAAGTGGATTGCTCCATCTTCCTTCTATGGAGCTGCTGGTGGGTTTGAACTGCTGACCTGGTTAGCAGCTAAATGTCTTATCCACTATGTCACCAGAGCTCCTTACTCTGTTGTTGTTGTTGTTATGTGCCGTCAAGTCGGACCTGACTCAAAGCGACCCCTCCTTGGGTTTCCGAGGCAGTATCACTACGAAAGTAGATTGCCCCATCTTCCTTCCAAGGAGTGGCTGGCAGATTTGAACCGCCAGCCTTCTGGTTAGCAGTCAAGTGCCTTAGGCACTACACTACCAGAGCTCCTAGAATACCCTATGGGGCAGTTTTACTCTGTCCCATGGGTTCAATATAAGTTGAAAATGACTTGATGGCACTTAACAACACCAGCATGTATTAGACACTGAATTTTTCTTTTTCCTATAAATTTACATAAAATACTTAAGTTAATATTTGCTATAAATATTTGCTTTCAGTACACATTTATTAATATTCTTAGACCAGTAAATGTTTACTGAAAGCTGCCTGAAGAAAAAGTGCTAAGTCACAGCTGTCCTTGGCTGCCCTTCTAGCAACGTAAACAAGTAAGAATAGCAACAGACATTTATGAAGGACAATCTGCTTTCTTTCTTCATTTCCAGCCTGTATTTAATTGAATCCAAAAATTATGATGTAGCACTTGAAAATTTTATTTCAATAAATGAAAAAATAGTGGCATGTAATTTTAACAGTTAACACAAAGAAAATAGAGAACACAGGAAAACACATTGGGATGCATCTGTATAAGAAATAGCTGAAATAATTCCCAGGATAAACCCACATTCTGCAATAAAGTGACAGGGAAGAGGCAGAGAAGGCACAGAAAATTGCACAGTAAGTGCTCATATCCATACATTAGAAGGATCGCAAAAGCTCACTATGGGAATTATTAGTATTTTCTCTCAGCTAGAGTTAATTTTCTGAAATTCTTATAACCCTCTGACTTCTCTGTCAGCTTCTTAAAGAGCTCTAGGAAGGCAAACCTAGGGCTTTAGAATTACCAGGAGCATTTAATATCTTCCTTTGTGGACAATTTCAAGGACCACTCTGTAGTTATGTAACTATCCTAGAATACCTAAGAATCTTCTACTTCCTTCACTAGGAGGACACATGCAAAAGCGACTACTACCTTTTAATTAGGGAGCTCTGGTGGCGTAGTACCTAAGGCACTTGACTGCTACCCAGAAGGCTGGCGGTTCAAACCCACCAGCCAGTCCTCAGAAGGAAGGTTGGGCAATCTACTTCCCTAGAGATACCACCTCGGAAACCCAAGGATGGGTCACTATGAGTTAGAGATGACTTGAGGGCACATAATAACAACAACCTTTTAATTAACTAAGGGAATTAGATGCCTTCCTGTACTAATTTCCTTGGATTTTCTCAGGAAAGAATTTTGTTTAGACCAGAATTAGTGGTAACCATGTCACGGTTAAATCAGGGTACATCCCCAAAGGAATACCCTCTTTTAAGGTATGTTTTGCTTTTAGATACAGCATTGTAATTTATTATTCTCAATGTCTTGAGTCTTTTTAAAGTAAATAGATTAACATTTTTGTAGGAAAATACAAAGAGCAAGGAGACTTTATTTTTATAATTAGCTAAAGAACGTTAGAAAAAGCATGAGGAATTTTTTGTGGCATATGCCTATATAGATTGTGAACTCTACAGGTAAATATTATGGAAAAAGATTATTTCTCTTATACATTTCTTGTGTAGATAAAGAGCATTTGAAAGGCTATCAGAAATGTGTGTAGTATATATATATATGGAAAGTTGAAGATCTTGCATCCAGAATTTTCAACTTAGCCCAACACAGCCGTTTTGGACACCCAATTTCAAGCTCTAAATAGAAATAGATGATTAAAAATAAGTTGTTTTCTGTAAAAGCTATAAACATGTTTTTATTTCAAGTACCCATTTATAACTACTAATTAGAATAATCTTTATAGATTCTACTGTACTACATTGATTCAGACTTTTTCCTATCCCATTAAAAATAAAAATAAAAAACTCACTGCCATGGAGTCAATTCTGACTCACAGAGGCCCACAGATCATAGGAAAGAGTAGAACTGCCCCATAGGGTTTCTAAGACTGTAATCCTTATGAAGGCAGAGGAGCAGCTAGTGGGTTTGAATCACCGAACTTTTGGTTAGCAGCCAAGTGCTTTAACCACTGTGTCACTAGGGCTCCTCCCTGAGCCCCATAACCTTGGTTAATTAAGTGATTATTATAAAGTGAATAAGGAGTTCTTGTGGTGTAGTGGTTAAGGCATTTGGCTGCTAACCAGAAGGGCAGTAGCTCAAACCCACCTGCCACTCCACAGGATAGAGATGAGGCTGTCTTCTTCCATAAAGATCGATAGCCTTGGAAACCTAATGGAGGTCACCATTAGTTGGAACTGACTTGATGACAATAGTTTTGTTTCTAAAGTGAAATGGGTGTACTGTGAAATAAATAAAATCATTTTTATTTTCTGCATATAACCATGAGAGCTCTGGTGGCATAGTGCCTAAGGCATTTTACTGCTAACCAGAAAGTTGGCAGTTCAAACCCACCAGCCACTCCTTGGAAGGAAGGTTGGGTAATCTACTTCCACAGTGATACTGCCTCGGAACCCAAGGAGGGGTTGCTATGAGTCAGATCTGACTCAAAGGCAGTGAGTTAGGTTTCTTTGGTACATATAACCATTCACTTGCAGCAAGGGAGCACTGGTGGCATAGTGCCTAACGTATTTGACTGGTAACTAGAAGTCTAGTAGTTCAAACACACCAGCCACTCCTCACCAATCTACTTCTCTACACATACCACCTTGGAAACCCAGTGCTATAAATCAAATCGACTCGATGGCAGTGAGGGTTTTTTTTTTTTTTTTCACAAAGAAATGTTTTCACTCCTTACTTTCCAGTGATGAGAAAGTATTTATCTTGGTGAAATGTGAGGATCACTAGAAAACATCCTTTTCTATCAGTTTCCAACAGAGGCAGTATGTGCAGGATTCTTTGTAAGAATTCTTTTTTGAAAGGTTTATATTAACTTAGCACTGGACACATTGTAGAGACTCAACAGAAATTAAAGGATGGGTGAATTGATTAAAAAACACCTTAAATCACAATTATTTTAACACATTTTCTAACATGGCCATAATATAAATGTGCAACCATCTCTCAGATATAAACATTTATTGAAAAAGTAAGTGAAAAGTTTGGTGAAGCAATCATGAAGAAAACAATTCTGTCATGAATTATAACTTTTCTGTGAGTTCCAGTACTACTATACCCTTTAAAATACCTAGGACCCAAAGTTGTGTATACTCTAGCCAACAAAAGATTGAGAAAAAAGTTTTGTTTTTGTTGTAATTTCTAAAATGTATCAAGGCTGTGACACTGTTGAATTTTAGATTATTCCTTTTGTCAGGTTGAAATCTTTTGAGCTAAAACATACTATGCCAGATTATCTGTTAGGAATTTCAGATATTGGTGAAAAACTTTTCAGTCATCATATTATTTTGATAAGGAAAGAGAATATCCTCAGTCAATCAATGGGTGGGTATAGAATACAAATGGGATGCTAGTATTTGGATTCAAAAATAAGTAAATAAAAGATATTAACTATCATGGAAACCTAAAGAAGGTACTATCTATCATAGGAACCTACCATTTTGGCAATTGGATTGGGATCTGCAATTCCTCTTGGATCTTTACTTGCAGGTTTCTATAATAAATAAATTATATTGTATCACACACACATACAAACATATACTGACCATCTCTTCTGCTCTGTGAAAAATCTAATACAGTTTAAATATTGATATGATATAGTATGGTGGGATAGTTACGTGAAGTTTCATCAGTAATCATTTTTCCCCGTATAAACCTTGTTGCTGATCTTGTCAACAATATATTGGTAAGAGAGTTTCAAACATTTTTTTTAAGCATTGGAGCTTTTATTGAAATAATCTTTATTGGAATCCCAATGACAGTGATTTTTAAAAGCGGACGGTATAGGTTGAATGGGAAATGGGAAGATAAGCTCACTCAGCTTCACTCTCTACTGTGTAATATTTTCTGGGATCCTTTGTGTGACTAGAGGATTCTGTGAAACCTTGGACTGAAATTATCAGGATCACCTTTTAGTCATGAATTAAGAAAGCATAATGAGAATTGTTGATTTTGAAAACACATAGTTTAGAATCTTGGTGTTTTCAGGACTCTGTTCTGAATAAGTGTTCTGCTCTGTGATTCTGGCATGAAGAGATAGAGACCTTGGCAGTTCAGCTGACCTCTGGTGATCCTGTGATACATATATATATATATTT